TGTGTACCCTAATAAACTTATCTGGGGTCATAGAATTTTGGGGACAGGGTTTTACTCTGTGCTCTTAGGTGGCCTGGAACTCCTTATACAAATCAAATTGGCTTTGAATTGACTCCTCCTGATTCTGATTGCAAAGGGCTGAGATTACATGCATGTGCCACTGTTCTGCATCAGTTTTCTTCATCTGGAGACAGCTCAGTAGTTAAGGGCACTTGTTCTAGAAGAGGACTCAAGTTCATCTTCTATTATTCACATGATGTAATTCAATTTCAGGCATGGTGACACACACCTTTAATCCCAGAAAGCGAGCCTTTAATCCCAGGGAGTGGTGGGAGAAAGCAGAAAGGTATATAAGGTGTGAGGACCAGAAACTAGAAGCATTTGGTTTGGTTAAGCATTTGGCTGGTTAAGCTTTCATGCTTTGGAGCAACACAGTTCAGCTGAGATTCATTTTGGATGAGGACTCAGAGGCTTCCAGCCTGAGGAAAGAGGACCAGCTGAGGAATTGGCAATGTGAGACAGGTGTGGCTTGTTCTGCATCTGAGCTACCAGCATTCACCCTGATAACTGGCCTCAGGTTTGATTTTATTAATAAGAACTTTTAAGATTCATGCTACATCTGGTGCCCAACGTTCGTGGTACGAATTCATGAAAAAGCTGTTTGTCTGTGGCCTTGTGGGCCCCTGCTCAGACTCGAGCTACCCTCAGCCAGTTGTGGTGAAGCACATTGGTTGCATTTGCTGAAGGAGACAGAGGCAGGAGGATCCCAAATTTGAGGATGGCCTAGGAGGCTTGCTAAGGAGAAGCTTCAGCTAGGGCCCAAGCACAAACAGCAGTGGGACCATGGAGGCAGTGGCTGCTGCTCCAAGTTGCGGGCTACTTCTTATCGTGTATCTTCTTTCGCCTTATATACCTTTCTGCTTTCTACCACCACTCCCTGGGATTAAAGGCTCGCTTTCTGGGATTAAAGGCGTGTGTCACAGTGCCTGAAATTGAATTACACCATATGAATGATAGAAGATGAACATGAGTCCTCTTCTAGTAACAGACTGCAATGATGCTGCTACCTTGGACAAAGGGTTTACTGCTGCTGGTTCAGAGAAGGATTGCCAGGACCATCGTGTTACAAGAAAGCATCAGCAAAGGGCAGTTTGGAAAAGTTTTGCAAGACAAATGATGGGGAGAAATTGCTGTGAAGATTTTCTCTTCTAGGGAAGAATGTTCATGGTTTCTAGAGACAGACATTTATCAGACTGTGATCGCTACAAACCAAGGCGCGCGCGCGCGCGCACACACACACACACACACACACACACACACACACACACACACACGTCTGCAGGGAACCATGACCACGCCTGATAGCAACTTTGAAATCTTCAAAAGGATGACAGGACCCTACAAAGATGATTCTATATGGACTATGGTAAAGCCATTAAGCTGGTTAACACCAAGGAAAGATCGACTTTGGACAACAAACTTGTCAGGACAATTTTGAGATGACTAGCTGAGGTGATCCAGCCTGAAAGACTACTCGACCAAGGACTTGTGACAAGCCCTTGAAGTTACTTTTTATGCAGAGACTGGAC